ATACTGGAGAGAAGCCTTATGAATGTAAGGAATGTGGGAAGGCCTTCCTACTGAGTACAGATCTTACTCGACATCAGAGGATCCATACTGGAGAGAAACCTTATGAATGTAATGAATGTGGCAAAGCCTTCCACCAGAGAGAATACCTTACTCGACACCAGAGGATCCATACTGGGGAGAAACCTTATGAATGTAATGAATGTGGGAAGGCCTTCTGCCTGAGAGAGCAGTTTACTCGACACCAAAGGATTCATACTGGAGAGAAACCTTATGAATGCAAAGAATGTGGAAAGTCCTTTCGCCTAAGAGAACTCCTTACTCTACACCAAAGGATTCATACTGGAGAGAAACCTCATAAATGTAATGAATGTGGAAAGGCATTTAGCCAGAGAGGACATCTTACCGTACATCAGACAATTCATACTGGGGAAAAACCTTATGAGTGTAATGACTGTGGGAAGGTATTTCGCCTGAGAGGACTTCTTACTAAACATCAGATAATTCATACTGGAGAAAAACCTTATGAATGTAATGAATGTGGGAAGGCCTTTAGCCTCAAAGGACACTTAATTCGACATCAGAATAACAAAAGGCATCCCTTCTTTGTGAACTGCCCTAGGTAGGACTCTTGGGACTTGTGTAAAGACAACTGTATTATGGAGATAAGAAATAAAGCAACTAAGTAACTGGAGCATCTTCAACTTTTGTAGATTTGTCAGATTAGCATAATAAAAGGGATAATTCTTATAATATAAAGGATAATTCTTATAAAACTCATTTATATAATGTAACATCAAAATACCAGAGGGTTTTTCCCCCATAGAAATAGATGCAGTTATAAAAAACAATTATACAGTGAAACAAACAGACCAGAATTATACTAAAACACCAAAATTTTAAAATGCTGATTGATCGTCAAGTATTTAGAAAGGATCTGTGTGCTAAGTATTCCGTGTGTTGAAGATACAAAGAAAATAGTTGAAACTGTCTTTGCTCTCAAGAATTTGGCCATCTGTTGGGAAAGATGACATGTACATATGTAATAGCTAGCATTTAGGCAGCATCTACTGTGTGCCAAGTACTGTGCTAAGCACTTTGCAATTATTTCATTTGAACTCAAATGAATTAACTCATTTTACAGTTGAGGAAACTGAGGCAAACAGGTGACTTTCCCAAGATCACACACTAGTAAGTATCTGAGGCTAGATTTGAACGCAGGTCTTCTTGACTCCAGCCTCAGTGCTCTATCAGCTATGCTACGTAGCTGCCAATATATTTTATGTCTATAGATAAGTACCTCATAGTAAATACAAATAGTTACAAGGTAATTAGGGAGGGAGACCATGAGCAGGGGAGAAATCAGGAATCCCAGTCATACTTAAAGCCTTGGTTATTGCCCCATTCTTTATCCTTGAATTGTTTGGAACAAAGTTAAATTTTAATCCTTGTCTCATAAGACATGTGGGTACCTAAGCACCTTGTGCCTTTCTATGTCCCCTAGTGCATAGGCACACAGAAAAGAAAATGAGTTACTCAGACTCATTGTTCTTGTTTCC